CTAGAGCTGCTATGAGCATGTTTCTTGCTTTCCATTCATAGGCATAATTTTTTTCATCTTTTTCATCCCATTGTGCTTCCGATTTAGGAACGGTTATCCCGACATCATTTTGCATAGTTATTGCAACGAGCCCATCTTGGATAACCTTCCATATTTTCCTATCAACAGACTTGATATGGACACGCATACAATCTTTCCAATAGATCCCTTTTAGATCACAATCCATTTCTAGAAGTTGTATGTGAAGCAATGGACTAACCGGGGCTCTTGATACCACTTGTTAGACGATGTGACGGATCTAGAAAGGGGGGAGGGGGTTGAATAGATCCCTTTGAAAATTTTGCGCTTTTTATAAAATTGTTTTTATTAGAGAGTGACAATCCTGAATCTGATCGTCTAAACTTTACGTATTGGAAAGATCGGATATGCGAACCAATTTGATGAAAATAATGAGAATAAAATCACAACTAAAATTGAATATGATGAATCGCTTTAGCAAGTTTAACAAGGTGTAAGTTATTACCAATTAGTTGCGGAGAAGATAAAGCAAATTTGTGAGTTGTAAATTCATCAAACACTTGGTGTACGTACTACACAAGTTTTGGTTATACTCAAATTGTAGTGATTATAGCGATTCAAACGAATGCTATATGAGTTGTAAATTTTAGTTTGTCACTATAATTATTTTGTATGAATGAGAAAAATTGATAACTCACAAATTCAAGCAAATAGAAATAAAAATGCAGAAAACTAAAATGGACACAGTATTTGTTAAGGCAGTTCACCCTGTCGTCCTCGCGTGGGCTACTCTGCCCCCAATTCTAGAATCTAGAATTAGGATTATGAAATTAATTTTGCAAAGTTTGTAAGAGAAGATACAATCACCACAATTCAAAGTCATTTGATGAATCTTATATGTTGCACTCCTCTTCCCTTGATTCTAGATGAATCAAGTATGCCAAATCTTAAACAAAATCTCCTTCTACCTTGAATGATTTTGAACCCTAGAAATTGGCCCCAAATCCTTCTTCATAATCCTCTGGTTACCGCTACCCGATTGAACACCCCACGGTCTTCCAATCCCTTAGCTCAGCTGAATTCAATGAATCAAAGAATTATGATAAAACCCCCAATTTTGGAGGACAAAACCCTAATGGTTTTATTCAAGAAAAAACCCACAAAGATCTCTACCCAAATTTGAAATTGCACTTTCAATTCGGACGTTATCAACACAATCCCAAAAACTTGATCAACAAAAATGATTGTGTGTAGTTGTTGATGGTTGATGAGAGGTTGAAGATGAAGAGAGCTCATGTGTCTATCTTTCACTTTTTCTTGTTATAACAGAAAATAGAGGCCAAACAATTTATATATAAGTGATTCCCATGATGTAACAACATAGCAGAAAAAATGAGACAATTTGGCGATGCGTCGGCTCATGCAGGGTGTACAGAAGGCGTGCGCCTTCCGGAGCGAGAGAGGTTGAAATTCCTTCAGTCATGCGCCAACTCATTGCCTGATGCACCGACTCATGTTTTCCCAGAATTATGCGTTGACGCATAGAGAAGGCGTGCGCCTTCCCGGACGTTGCCAAGCCAAAATCTTCTTCTCATGAGCCGACCTAAGGTTCCATGAGCCGGCTCATGCAGTCTGTTTTGAGAAAAAATGCTTGATTTTGATGTTTCTCACTTGCACCTGTTTGAAGCATAACATATTTGCACATATAGGTTTTTGACAAGCATTAAAATTGAGTTCTTTCAACTTTGCCCTCACAAGTTGTTCCACGCCCAGGGTTACAGATTGAAGCATCTCCGACTAGTAAGGATTTACAAAATCAAAACTGTATTTCCAGGCCATTTAAATACATATTGCTTGCATATTTGCGCTGCTAATGTTGTTTATGTTTGTATGAATGTATCACATGTAAGATAATGTGCAGGAATAAGACCTTGCCATCGTTAAGGCACGGTCTAAGTTTGCCTTCGAAGCTCACGATACAGGCAGTTTCAAGCCAAATAGACCCCAAATTTGGATTCAGGGGATGGTTTCACGTGGGATAAGGTCCTTTGCATTGTTTTAAATCAACGCTTGGTTGAGTTTGCAGGTTTTGGTTGCCTTCGGAAAAACAGTCACATCTCTCGAAATGTGAGAGATTTTAGTGGCTACCCTCCAGTTTAAAGATCATAAGTCTCTCGATGACCCTCTCGACGTTGCCTCGGTAAAATGATCTTAAAACCCTAGGGTAGTTACTAAAGTTTCTTGCCCAGTTTCCTTTGTGACTGTATAAACGTCCCTTTGATTGTCCCTCAAACATCCAACGACTAGGGCTACCTACTCACTAATAGTAGGATAGCACTGTCTAAAGGAAAAGAGGAAAAGAACAATCCTTTCGAGTATAGTAGATAATTCTTAGAGACTTGCTCAAACAATTTTTACACTTACACAAAACTCCTTTCAAAAACATTTTCAAACACTTTATATATGTTCTCTACCATTTCGAGAAACATTACAAAGTTCACCGCACTAAGGCGCTTTCAAAAATACTTTTCAAAACACACAAAGCACAAGGTATTTCAAAATGAGCTAAACATCTAAGAGCCCGTATAAAAACTATGGATGGAAAGGGTGCTAACACATTCCCTTTCCATAATCTACCCCCCTTACTCAGAAAACTCTCGAAAGGTCTTTTTCTGTTCTTTTCACCCTTTCCTTTGTCGGATAAAAGAAAAGTCGGTGGCGACTCTTGCTTACCACAACATTTGCGAATACAAATGCGAAACCAGTATAACAGTCGGTTCTTCCACCCTATCACAACCCAAAAGAAGATACAAAGAAGAACCCTTGAAGAAGAACCTGTCATGCCAGCAAGGGGGCAGCTCATATTTTCCCTTCTCCTTCTCCTTGCTCAGATACAAAGTACCCTCACTGCGCTGCCTCTTATGCCTCGAGGACACCTACAGAGGAGAAAAAGCCCCGACCGGCTGCACCATTGACGAAGCGCCCGATCCCAACATAGGGCCCGCGTCGGACGAGGAGGCCTTGACACCCTTCTGTGCCTTCTTCAGTTTGGAAGCGGTCGTTCTGGATAAGCGCTTCTGGGCGGGATTCATCCTATCTGCGAGGAAACAACAAAGAGCAATCAACAAAACAGAAGAATATATGTGTCATGCAAACAAAGAAAATCAAATCATAAGACAGCTACCAAGATACGCCACATGGTCTTCACTCTCGAGGAGCTCCTTAACGCTTATCAAACCCTGGTCGTAGGGCTCTTGTCCATTTTTATCAATAAATGGCTTCCTCCTTTTCCCTCACACCAGGCGGAAGGGAACCCCACAACAAACGCGCATAGACAATCAAAGTTGGCTATGTCCTCAGCACCGAGTTGATCTTTCTTTTAGACATAGGCGTCAGTCCCCCTTTCATAATGCTTATCGATCCAGTGAAAAGGAAACTTAAGCACCATCTTGTTCGCATGTTTTCCCTCCTCGATCAAAATGGAAGCCCCTTCCCCATCGTACACAAGGACAACCCAGAAGACACTCAACAACACCCTCTCTAAGACGGGTTGAACGAGCATAAATTTTTCCTTAAAGGAGCGGACTGACTCCAGGTACGCCTTGAACAACTTGCCGTTCACCTACTTCAGAGCGACCCAACCATATTGGGCACTAAATGACTGCCTCTGAAGATGGAAACAGTAGAAGAACAAAGGGACAATGGCCTCGACGCCCAAATAGTTGCACACGATCTTGAAAGCCTGAAGGAAGGCGATCGAGTTCGAATGCACCTGGGGTGGAGCCAGACGAAGATGCCTGAAGACCGCCACTTGGAAGTCCGAGAAAGGGAGCCGCAAACCCATCTCCCTGAACACGATCTCGTACATAGGGAACCGACGAGGTTCGAACCACGAGCAGATCCAACTCTTCTGGTTGGGGATGTAGATTGCCCATTCCTCTTTAACACCCTCTCAGTCCATCTCCGGATCCAACAAGGTGAATATCTCATCAGGATGCTCAATAAAGTAGGAGACATACCTCAACTGGCCCAACGCAACCCAATCTAGTGAACCTTTCTCGACCACAGGCGCGCTGGGACCCTCTTGATCGATGGGAGCCACCTCCACGCTCCTTAGTATCCTGATTACCAGACATCTCTGGCTCCAGTACTCCCGGCAAGGATTCATACGCCCCCGAAGTGCTCGCCTCGCCAGACGTACTCTCGACAGAACTCCGGGAAAAACCATTATGCTCATTGAGAAACTCATCGTCGGCATTATCAGCCATAGTACTTGAAAAGCAGAGGATAAAGGTGAGTTCGACATCAATGTCAAAACCACCCTTCCACCGTTAATCAAGTGAAAAGGCGCTAAGGAACGAGGACCTTATCCCCGACCAGAGCCCTCACTTAGACGTCTAGCTGACAGTCATTCCCCCTCGACAAAACGGGTTGAGGTTAACTGGAAAGGGCGTCACCATTACGCCCTAGTCCCTGGGCCAGCCATCATCACGCGTATTTGACAACACGCGACTCGATGCATGCAAAGCACACAACCTCTCCAGATTCCTCTCCCCGGTAACCAAACACTGGGAAAATTTCCAAACTCCTCGCACAACATTGCTCCTCGAAACAAATCGCTCAACCATTCCCCTCCTCGCGAGGCAAACGCGATGAACATCATTTTATACCCCTCAAGCAATATCAACCAAGAAATATCCCCGTTTCACTAGCTGATTTTAAATCATCACTCTTATGCCCAGAAACAATAATAAGATCAAAATCGAATTATCAAACAAAACTTTTTTATTAGAGTAAGTTGAAAAAACTAAATTTTTTTTTTGAGTCATACCAAACATTACTTAATATTAATTTGAAGTTAAGCAATGATTATCATGTACTAGTAATAGTAGTATTAATATTTGTTTGTATGTACTATTACGTTTGGTTGTCCGGTACACCGATGGTGTAGGATAGGACACGAAAAGAATCTCATTAACAACATGACAGGAAAGGACGAGTTTGTTTCTTACTCGCCCCTTCCCTCCAACCCTAACTCCTATCCTTACCCACAACAAAACGTCGTCGTTCTCCTCCCCTACCGTCCTCATTCTCGCCACCGTCACCACCACCGCACCTGTCTCATCTACTCCGCCGCACTCCTCCTCACCCTCGTCATCGCCGCCGGAATCTTCATCCTCTACCCATCCGACCCGGAGATTCACCTCGTTCGCGTCCGAATCAACCACATCGGAATCCGAACAAATCCGAAACCGATTCTCGACCTATCATTCTCCCTCACGGTGAAGGTTCGTAACAGAGACTTCTTCTCCCTTACGTACGATTCCCTTGATGTGTCCGTCGGTTACCGTGGTCGTCAGCTAGGGTTGGTTTCCTCCGTCGGCGGTGCTCGGATTAAGGCGCGTGGTTCTTCTTATGTTGACGTTGTGTTGTCCGTTGATGGATTTGAAGTTATCTATGATGCTTTCTATCTGCTTCAAGATATTGCGAAAGGTGTGATTCCGTTGGAGACTGATACGCATGTTGATGGGAAATTAGGGCTTCTCTTCTTCGATGTTCCGTTGAAGGTACTAGTATAGTTATAATTAGCAGCTCAATTTTTATATTTTGCTTTGATATTATTATGTTTGGTTTTGCGGTGAAAAAGATTGATTTTGATGAATTGATTATGGTTAAATGTGAGTCGAATGTAAAGTTATTTATGTTTAGATAATTTTATGCAAAATTGAGTTGAACATTAAAAATCATGTTTAAATTCAAAAGCTACAAATCTTAGCTTCAAGTGGAATCAATTCTGAAGACATAATCAATTCTACTTTAGAAGAATCAAACACCTCAAAATCATTCCAAAATAAGTTCTTATGTTTATCATATTATCATTATGATTGGGATTTTTTAGTTTGAAATTGCAACTTGTACCAGCATTAGATGATTTTTTACCTTGTGCTAAATTGCTAATATCTTTATCTTGAGTTCAAGAGTGGAATTTCCCAGTTGTTAGGTTAGAATTTCAACCTTGATCATTGTTGTCAAATAGCTGCTATAACTGTTTTAATTGAAGTTATAAGTGGTTTTGCTAGATATTCTAAGGAGCTTTAAGTTGAAGACAACATATGAACATGGAATAAACTGTTTTTGTGAACTCTCTTTAGAACTTACACATGATTATTTTACAAGATAAGCTATAAATAAGTTCTAACATGCTTTTTTATGTCTATTTGATACCTATGTATTTGTAATGTTTAATGCCAAATCCAGGCAACAGTGTCGTGTCAAGTGTACGTGAATATAAACAAGCAGACAGTTGTACGGCAAGACTGCTATCCTGAGGTGAGATTTTTTTGTTTTACTTTTGGCTACTGATTTTTACGAGCAGCACTTTGTATTCATCTCTTTTGTAATTTCTCGTGTAGATCTTGTCAAATTTGTTGCATTGCATTTTAGTTAAGTCGTGTTTCCATTCCATTACTATCAAACACTTTGTCTGTCTTTACCACCATTTATGAATAAGTTAGTTACTCCAATTGTGTAGTGTGATATAGGTAGGAGAGTCAGTATTGTGGAGATCTCTTTATGAAACATTAGAAATAGGGCTTTTAACCCTCAATTGCACCCCAAAGTAAAAGAAACTGCATGTATCTGAGGGTAGGGGTGGCGAATGGGAAAGACCGCCCCGCCAAAGTTTGTCAGAGAATGGGGCAAGCAAAGTAGAGGGGGCGGGCCGGAAATGTTGGCTCGGCCTGCAAAAAAAACTGGGAGGATCTATGGACCCTGTCACCCATAAAACCTAAAAGTGGAAAAAGTCATGTCCACCTGTTTAGGTCTGCATCAGTCAAAGCCCGCCAAAAAACGGGCGAGGCGTGCCAAAAACCTTGGCTCGACCCGCCAAAATGAAGGGCTAAATGAGCACGGCAGGCTTAACCCGTTTTGCCATCCTTATAGGATTTTTTTTTTTTTTCATGTCTTAGGAGTTTGAAACTGCAAGGCGCTTATCAGCTAGAAGTAAACTTATAAAAAGCCTAATTTGTTGAAAGTATTCTTTGCCCTTGTTTTAAATTTTGAAATTTCAAACAAGCAAAGGCTTATATTGTTGTATTATATTAAGCAATTGTATATAATAAATTGATATAGCATCTCATGTTTTCTTATTGAAAACCATATGAAAGACACAAACTACTTTGATTTTACTTTTTATTTGTAGCTGGGAATTGATTTTCTCATAGAATTTACAATCTTATCATTTGTATTCATCCAAGATTGCTTAACTTGTTCCAGGATTGCTTAAGTTGTTTCATAAGCTAAAACCTTAAATTTAATCATAGTTATGGGCTTGTTTCCCTAGCTTATAAGTTTTTAGGCTTTTGTTCTTGAATTAATAATGTGTATTTGGATAAAATATGGAAAGAATTTGCTAATTCATTTTTGTACGTTTGCTTCAGTCACTGGGCGATACACTGGATCGGAATGTAAGTATTGCAGCTGGAGAGACATTGTGATTTTTAAACCTTTAGCATCACTTATATATACAGTGGCGTTGGTGTTCTGCTCATTGCATTACTATTAGTGTGCTCATATGCTGTATGATTTTATATGCATCACACATTCTTGTAAATTCTGGTTGAACTAAGACCATACAAGCATCCTGTATCTAACGCTTTTATGAGACTCAAAATTAATGATCATAAACCATGTGGTTAATTCATTATTTTGGACGGTTCAACAAGTTGCTGAAATGAAAACTTTGAATCTCTATTTCTTGGCGGAGCATCCTTGTCATGTTTGGTTCTAGCATCAAAATTTTGGTACCACTCCATGTTTTAACTAATATTCTGTTCTCAGTGGATTCTAGCAATGACATGAAGAGCTAAAGTTCTAGTAGATTTGTTGGTGATGGAACATATGCATATACCCAAAGATAAAAAGGGAATGAAACTAAAGCTCAAAATCCTATTCTATTATCGTGCCTTAAAACTTTTGATTGTTTATTCCTTCCCATTACATTATTCCCAAATAATTCATATACTGGAAATGTGGTCATAGTGATCAAATTAGATCGAGGACATGTTTGTTGTTAATTAACTTGCACACATTTCAGTGCAGTTAAAACCAAACCTAAGTAATTCAAGATTAACAAACGCATTTTAAGTTGGAGAAAATGTTTTTGAACAAACTTTTAAGATGGTTTCTTCATAATTGGACATATAAAACCACACATAAGTCATTATTACATTAACATTGTCTTCTACAAGCACTTGAATGAAAGAAAATTTTACCTTAACGAAACTGTTTTTGGATATATTTTGAAGATGGTTCCTTCACAATTGGACATATCAATGTTTAAACTTGAGTCATCTGGAAAGAACTAGAATTGACAGCGAAACTCATTCAAAAGACTTAACACTTCTACATTTTCAAGATTGATTCCAATCCATGACCTACATTTTCAAGATTAATTCTTTCAAAAGATCCACATTTTTAAGATTTGATTCCAATATAACATTTTCAAGATTTGATTTCAATCCATGACCTACATTTTCAAGATTTGATTCGAATCTAAAATCTCTAACCATGTTAAAAGAGACCCTATGACATTTGAATTGATTTTTCTAATACTTGAGTTTTTCTATAAAAAAATTGGGTTGATTGTTTGATTTTAAATTTTGATAATATCATGAAGTATATGTCTTTTTAAGGGAAAATTAGACTCCTATGATTTGTTAAACTGACATCAGCATTCTCTAGTTTTAAAGTACTTATCTTCCTTAAACTAACTTATATTAGTGGAAATTTTTCGTGACAAATGAAAAACCGTAAATAAATATCATACATAATAGAATTTAGAAAAGATTAACATATATTTTAAAATTAAAACTAGAGGGGGGCGTCAATGCCATTATTCACAATGTCATTTTAATAGAAGTCATTGAACAAATAAATATGTGTTTATGAACGCTTGATAAGAGAAATTTAGGAAAGCTTAAATACACAAACTTATTTTAATTTATATGCAGAACTATAATACATAAGTGATTATTTTAATTTTTCTTTTCCTGTAAATAAATATTGAAAAAATTATTGAAGTTAAACTCGCTGTAGAGATTTTGTTGCTATTGATTCAATTCTGTTTTTCTTTTTTGTCTATTATGATATTTTCTTATAGTAATATGAAACAGAAAAAAACAATCATTTTTCATTTGAAACCTTTGATCTCAAATTATTTAACAAGACTCCTGAAAACAAAAAGAAGAAAAATGTAGACATATATTTAATTATTTCATTGGCATACGACTTAAATTAAATTACAGATACATCTCATAGAATCACTTAACTGTTCTACCACGCCAAACATACTCACCATGATGCTGCCGGCACCGGAATGACCCCGGATGTTGTGACGGCGAGCACACGCATCGCTTCACAGAACCACTCTCACCGGAGCCACCGCCACCATCACCATGATGAACATGTCTTGGTTCATGTTCTGCCTCATTTGAACCTTGAAATGCAAACCATGTTGTATGTACAATCAAACCTTCTTGGCTCACAAAAGGAAATCCTGGATGACACATGGATATTTTTTGTTTTGTTCTTTTGGTTTCTAACCCTTTGCTTTGTATTTATAATGTGCCTTACTTTAGTGAGTTAAGAGTTGAAAAAGAAAAGAATCTTCTCGGGAAATGTAGAAGAATAAAAGTTAGAGGAAAAAGTGATTGAAAAGTAAAGGAATTGTGTTTGCCATAAAAGGCTTTTGGATATATTCCTTTGGAAAGATTTGTGCTTTGCATTGCAATTTGCAAGTCTTTATATCAAGGTTTTTGGTCTTTAGGAAAGCGTGATTATTTCACATAAATAGTAGCTATAGAACAATGTTTAATTTTAATGAATTATTTAGTTATCATAACTTAAAATTTGTTGATAGTTAATTAGATAATTAATTATATTAACTGTAAATTTATTAAAAATTAGACATAAGTAATACTAGTATAAACATAGAACATACTGTAACATGTTTTGACTCATCTTAAAGTTTATTTCTTGGTCACTCATTATGATTTGATTTTTTTGAAGTATATGAGTCCGGAACTAACTTATCATTTAATAACCATTTATACTTATTTACTATCTTTCTATTGTAATGTGAGGTCAATGATTGGACCGAACTTACTACATAAGATGAAACAAGAACATGTGTATAGTCATTTGTCTTTGATGCTGCCACACGTGGCTCAAATCCAAGTACATCTCTTGTGTGGCATATGCCTCCCTCCTCGTATTAGAGTCATAGGGTTTCTATTTCTTTTTCTTTTTCCTGGTGGTTATCTCTATTTGTTTTTTTCTCGGGTCTTTCACATGTCCGAGATTAAAAGTGAAAATAGATTAAATTGAGTACAGTTTTATTAAATTTGAGTTTGGTCTATTAAAAAATTCAAAATTTAAATGTGAATCATAGTCTATTATATAATTATTTTTTGATTTAAGTCTGATCTGTTCTAATGTTTGATTAACTTATAAGTCAATTTACAAAGTTTATATAATTTAAATATATATAAATAAATAATTTAACTAACGTTTAAATATATTAGAGAATTAAAAGTATATGGAGATTAAATATTTCTTTACATTGACTTATTTGAGTTTACATAATAGCATAAGTTTTGAGAGATTATTTATTGAAAATTTTATGAAAAACAACTCATGACGTTATTCACAAGGTTTTTTAAACAAGTTCTTCAAGATAATTAAATATAATATAAAAAATAATAAATTTATTTAAATAGATTAGTCTGATAGATCTAAACATTTTTTATGGCATGTTGGAATAGTCTATTTAACTAAATAAGTTTATAAAAAAAATCTAGATTTTTTCTACTTACAAAATAGCCCGACATGGCTTTGGCTTATGTAAGTCGTTGGCCTGACCTATTCTCATCCCAGTCCGAGACGAAAGATTCAATAATAAAGTAAGAAGAAAAATGCTCTTTCCACTTTATGGGTGTGTTACACATCTCTATAAATTCAAAAATGTCATTCATGCATTTAGAGATGTATCTCCAAACGCACCTAAAATCAAAATCTTTGGATATCCACTCTATTTTGAATAAAATCTTAATACAGAGATGCATTACCGTAATATTCTAACGGATTTTCAGAGATGCATCTCCCTAATTCCTCCTAAAATTGTTTAAAGATAAATGATTACATATATTCAAAGACATATCTCTGAAAATCCCCTGAATACTTTCAAGTCAACAATATTGTCTTAACAATAAATTTTTTTGAGACCAACTCATTTTAGATGATTTTAAGTCATAAGTTAAAAAACAGATACACTAATTGATTCAAATATGCGGTAAAAGAATTACACATAAATTAAAGTAAAATCAAAATGTCCAAGGCACACATAACTTATTCTGAAAAAAAAAAAAAAATACAACCAAATATAAATTAGTGTCTAAAAATTGGGGTTTTTGCAATTAAATTATACTTTTCATTCTAATTCAAACATTATATTGAAATTATACAACAAGAAGGTAATAAAAAATGACATGTTTTGAAATTTAAAAATTGCTTTTTGAAAGTAACTATGCCACTTGAGTCTGCTTCAGTCTTTTCAACTGCTGCAACACCCCATGCGTCCTTTAAGCTGCATTAGTCTTTTCACAATTTATTACCTTCTCATATCTCTTTTCGTCTTCTTCTTTGTCTTTCTTCCATCTCTCTCTCTCTCTTCTTTGTCTTTCTTCTATATCTCTTTTCATTTCTCTCGGATGGTTCAACCAAACAACCAAGATGGCAAGACCCTTTAAAAGTGTTAAGAACATCAATGATTCGAAGAAGCTCTGGAAATTAACGGTCAAAATCCATCACAAATCGACGATGGTCTCCAAGAATAAAGAACACTTCGACATGATTCTGGTTGACAAAGAGGTAAGTCTCATGTTAGGGTTTATTTACATAAATCGTTGGGATGAAATTTTTTAGATTTACGGTAAAAACATGATGCGTTGCTTAGTTTCTGGTTTAAAATCGTTTTCTGTTCTGAAGACTGACAATGATGTTGAGCTATGTGCACTTGGCATGGGTATAGTTTTCTTTAATCTTTCACTTTCTTTCAATTTACCGATAGATAGATTCTGATTAGGTTTAATAGAAAATTTAACTTCTGACGGTATTCTTGATTATGTACAGTGAGAAGAAGCAGAAAGTTTAGAATATAAAATCAATTTATAAATGCATGATCTGAGAAGTGCGTACTTGATTAATTTTTAAAATCGATTTTGATAGATCCATTCATATTTTTAAGTTTCTTTAATTACTGGAACTTGTTTTCATGTTACACGTATAGTGGCATCCACTATTGAGGCTAAGGTTTTCATGTTACCAACTTTATTGCACGCAAACAGTGTATGTTATTTTAAAATGGGAAACTCAAACTGGTAATCGTAGAACCTTGATTTTTTGTGGTCACCTCATTTTTTTTTTATTACGTTTTGTGTTACACTGCATTTGTGTGATAGTGGCAACCTGTATGTGATTGCTCAAATTTTAATAGGTCCTTCTTATTAGCTCACTTTACGTCGTAAATATTTCTGAAGTCGTCTTGATTACTACATATCCGTTATCTATTTATTTTCTCATTTATTTACGTATTAATGATTTGTTAGTCTTGACAAGGACTCTGTAAAATACGGGTCACCATTGATGTTTAACCTATAATTTATTTTGAGATAGAGGCCATCATGAAGACTTCGTACAGCTGAATCCACCGTCTCATGTTTATGAAGTTGAAATTATGGTTGAAAGTAATTTGCATACACCAACAACTAACTGGAGCTTGTGGTTAGGGTACAATATTTTGATCACCCGAAAATCAATAGCAAGTGATTTTATCCATTCATGTTTCATAGATATGTATGTAGCTTTTGTGAATAACTTCATGAAAGTAAACTCCAGCAGAAAAAATGGCATGATTCAACTCTTCCAAAAGCTAAAGCTGTCAAGTGAAGGAACATTGTTACATTTCTAACATATCTGTGGTGATTCTCAGGTTGCAGAATACTTAGTTCCGAACATTAGATCTATCCCTACCAACAGATCAATGAAGCCAACATACTTCCGGTTCCTCACCGTTTGAAAGCCTATTCACAAATATTTTCAGTTAAGAAAAGTCTAATTTTCAATAGTCTAAATCTCATACTTGCATGCATCATCGCATTATGGACCATAACATAATCTAGCACTTCTATCATGTTCAGAACTCAACTCCTTCTTTTCTGTTACCATACAGAGATTTGCGTTTGGGGCAAGGATGAACTGGTAAATTATCGAAGATTGAACAGCATATAGATAGGTGCCATGTTCAATTCTTGTCAGCATATACATAAGCTCCAAAAGAGAAGTCACGGGTGGAATTTTTAGTGACAACAACCTTGAAAAAGAAACAATACAGAATACCAGGTTCTGGCAATTATTTAGATGTGGGTCTCCCTTCAACTTCTGTTTTTCGACATGTAATTTGATGGCTAGCCAAAAAATTAATTTAAAAAATTAAGCAGAATGAAATTATTTATAACACTTATATTTTAATCTTTGTATGTATAATCATAAAGGACTAAAATAGATAAATCATGTTGTGTGCTGGATTTTGATTCAAACACTGTGTTGTACTTCATGTATCATTTCTTTATTCTCTTTCCACAGTTGGTTTGTAATATGGGCTGATATTTGTTTCAAAATATAAGTAAAAATATTTGTTATTGAACAAAATAATATTTAATAACAGATAAAAATATATGATTGGTTCAAATATTTGTATATAGATTCACGTCAAAATAAAAGTAATATTTATAACTAATGTTTAATGTGTTGGTTCAAATTACACGTGGGTATTAAACAAAATTTTATTTCTAATCATACATTTTAGTTTTTACACAATTACTAAATACCATACGACTTTGTTTTTAAAAACCGCGTATAATTTAATTTGGATAAAAAATATTTTTATACTTTAAATATTGATTTTGTTCTCATTACTTTATTTGTATAAACAACAATTACTATATGTGAAAATAAAGCATATGACCGATCAGGACCCGTGCGAATGCACGTGTTTGTTACTAATATTTATTAAAATAGGTCATCCTGATAGGTCTAAAAATTTTTTATGGCACGTGGGACTAGTCTATTTGACTAAATAAGCTTATAAAAAAATCTAGGTCTTTTCTACTTATAAAATATCCCGACATGGTTTTGGCCTGTGTAGGTTAAGTCGTTGGTCTGACCTATTCCTATCTTTATCCGAGACGAAAGATTCAATAATAAAGTAAGAAGGAAGATGCTCTTTCCACTTTATGGGTATGTTAAATACCTCTATAAATTCAAAAATTTCATTTATGCAATTAGAGATGTATCTCTAAACGCACCTGAAATCAAAATCTTTTGATATCCACTTCGTAAATAAAATCTTAATACAAAGATACATCACCGTAATATTCTAAGGATTTTTCGGAGATGCATCTCCGTAATTCCCTCTAAAATTGTTTAAAGATAAATGATTGTGGATATTTCAGAGATGTATCTCCGAAAACTCCTGGATGCTTTCAAGTCAGCAACATTGTCCTAACGATGAAAATTTTTGAGATCAACTCATTTTAGGTGATTTTAGGCCATAAGTTAAGAAACGGATACACTAGTTGATTTAAATATGAAGTAAAAGAGTTACACATTAATTAAAGTAAAATCAAAATGTGCAAGGCATACATAACTTATTCTGAAAAAACAAAAAAAAATACAATGAAATATAAATTAGTGGGTATGTCTAACCATCAAATTCTCCTCATTCTATCCTACTAGGAATTCTGTGCTTCGACAATCATACCTTCTACGAGGTCCAACTGGGGACTTTCTTCCTCAAAGATTTTTGCCTTTATGTCTGATCTACCCATCTGAACAATATATCGACGGACCACTACCACGTCCTCAGTGTTATCACCCCTAGTCTAAAGTACCTCCTGATTTGTTGGTCGAGATGGTATTCATGGAGCGTATGGTGTCATAATAGGGTGTGACACCTTATAGAACCATGTTATGTAGCCTTTTGCAACTGCCCAATATACAGAAGCTGGGAACCCGCGATACTCCTCTGGTACCAAATGACTCTCGAAATCATCAAGTATCACATCAAGATCTCTGTGACGGACGATGGGGGAGAGACTCATATGGAGATCTCGAAATAATCTATAACTAGCTAAACCGCCACATCACTCGCTCGAATAAATAAGGATACATCAGAGCTAACCCACATGCCAACCATCTAGAGTATAAGGAGATGACGTCCAACTAACGCGTCTCGCGGTGACCGTTGTATGGGCATAAGTCTATAACATTTGATACATGATAGTCAAGATACACTATGAATGACTCGATCACACTATTCCCCATATATAGGGTAAAGGCGACAACACATGGCCAATCCTCAATGTAGGTAGGCACAATTTTTCACCCAGTGATGCGAGAGAAGTGGGAGATGATCCATCTCTGAAAATGGTTAAGATATAATATTAATAACAAGTGTAACAAATAAATCATGAAAATATTAGTAACGCTAAATTACCATAAGCAGTGTGCATCTTCTTGTCACATGTTTTGTCTTCCCAAGGCAACCCTCGCCAAACATTGAGTACATGTAGATAAAACAAGAGACCCCCCAATTGTACTAGGGAATCATAGTAAAGTCGATGAAGTACTTAAGGTAGAGCACATCGACGTAGGTTCCATCTTTGTCCATAAAAATGGACGTGCCAACAAAGAACAAGAGGTAACACCTCAATGCACAAGTCCGATAGTACGCAATCTGCATACCATCACCTTCGGCCTCCCCAACCCACCACAGGTGGTCTTTATACAAGTCTTCTAAATATTTAAATCTAGCATGAGAACCTCTGGTGTCAACTACCTCATTTGCCGCCTTAGTTGGGTCAACCCCCAAATACGTAACTACCATCTCACTAGCTTCCACTCGACGAGCCTTCAATGGCCCAATAATTTCCCTTGACGGGAAGATGCAGGAGGCAAGAGATGTCATCCGGGGTGATGGTCATATTACCCATGAAAGGTGGAAAGATGACGTCTATGAATGCCATATCTCATAAAATGTCACTTGCATTCCATGGTTTATGATCATGTACTCAGAAACACATAAACCTACAAGACTAGAATAACAAATAACATCCCTGAACCAATCAGCGTTGGGTTGTTCCAACTCGAATATCTTTCTATAGTGGTTTATCGATTTTAAACATAAATGCTCCTATAAAAACACAATAAGTATTGATTTGATTAGTTTAAAATATATGTGTTGCAAAAGTAAATAAATATACCTCTCTTTACTAGACATTCCTAGCAGCATGGTCTGCATAGAGATGTAGTAATGAGGTGTAATATATGACTATTGGATAACTCTCTAAAGGGGTGTCAACAACAGGTTCCTCCTGGGCTTCAGGGGCTTTAGGTGCTACTTTATCATCTTGGGACTAGTGACCCCATGAACTAGAGGCCTCACGCACCCGACTACGAGAACCAGATGGTTGGGAACCTCGGGGATGTGAACAATCAAAAGAGGTTTCATCAACTCGTGGCCTTGTGGTCCTGCTGGCGACCCTCTCATATTGTAAAGATGCGGTTTAGGACATACGATCGAGCCTAATTCTCCCAGGGTTGTTTTCAGCCATTGCACCCATGATAAAACTAGATAGGAAAACAAAAAATGCAATCAAAATTCTTCCAGGTCCAAATCTGGAGATACATTTCCAAAAATAGTTCAGAAAGAATCTGAAGATGAATCTCCGGACAAAGCTCCAATTTTGCAGAAATGGAAGAAACGTGATTGCTTCCCTAAACTCTAAAAACTTTCAATGCGTGTCCATTTAGGATACCTATATCGATTGCACACTACCTAATGTAACTTAATAAACTTATTGTTCCTAAAAAGTTCATTCAAACTCAAAAAGGAATGATTTTTGAAAAATTACCAAATCTAAGTTGTGGATGAGAAGCTTGAATAAAGTGACAAAATTTGTAGCAAATGGAGTAGATTTTTTTAGGTTAAGTGAGTTTTTAGATAAATTAATGAGGATGAGGGAATATTCTGGCGTGAGTTAATGTATTAACCCCGTCTAGAGATTCTTCTATGTACCACTCACTAAATTTTAAATTAATGGTATTTACGGAGATACATCTCTGGAGTAACCTCATACATATATAGAGATGCATCTCTGGATTAAATTTTAGCAAATTAAGGGCTTCAAATCAATTTACACTGAAGAGTCTGTGAAAAAGGTGCGTCAAGAGATGCATCTTTTAACACTAGGGACAATTGTGACTTTTCACAGTGATAATAACTCTCGTGAAGAGTAGGTAGACTTCTATTTCCCGTGAGATAGACAATTCAACCTTCAAAAGTATATCTGGCTATCCTTATCAATTAGACACGTGGTCGCAGTCCATTCCTCATTCCATGTTTTTTATTTCAAACCTTACCCACTATTTAAGAGATAAAATGAGCCATTATAAAGTATTTAAATTTATTCTTGAAGGTGGAGAAAAACACAAGAAAAGGAGTTTGAATCGGGTTTTAAAAACTTTTTCGTTTAGAAGTGCTTTCCACAAATGATCAGAATTAGAAACAATACTAGGAATAGAAATGACAATCATAAATAGAAATAAAAAGACACTTCTGGTTTATCTAGGTTCACCTTAGAAAAGGTTAATCATGTCCACCTGCCAAGGTGATTTAGCCTTAGAAAAAGACTTAATTCAATATAACCAAACTGATCACAATTGCACGGGCTATCCGCCAATGACTAACAATCTGCACGAGCTACCTGCGGGTGACTAACAATAATGATAACCTGTTAGTGATCCCTTAAGAATTCTGACCTACCTGGTCCCCTAAGAGATATAATGATCACTGACTCCTTAAGGCTTCTGACCTACTCGGTCCCTTCAAGGAGATTTCTCTATGCCTTAGAAAAGGACTTTCTCTTGCCTTAGAAAAGAACTTTCTCAACTACCCGTTGAAAGACTATGTTTACATGTTTGCTTCTAACAAGCGAATTCCACATAAGTTTAAGTACA